CGAAAAAAATGTTAATTTATTTATTTGTCTCTGTGTGTTAATTTTTGTTAAAAGATTTTTTGGTTAATGCTTTTATGATAGGAAATACAGTCAAAAGTCATTAATCCGGACTCGTCGGGACTTCGGCGATTTGGATTATCGATTTTTCCAGATTATAGATAATTAGTTTAAATCTGGTAAGATGGCATGCAGAAATTACAAAATTAAAAATATGAAATGGTAATTTACGAAATAAAGAACAATTATGATCTAAAGGGTATCAAAATTACAAAAAAAAAAAAAAAAAAAAGAAACTTAATATTTATTTGTTTACTTTATTAAACATTTCTTTCAACGCGCATGCGTAAAGCATACATTACGCATAGTCGAAATTAGAAAATTGCAACCAGAAAACTATTTGATGTGAACTCGTGATATTTATAATGACGAGGAAATGATTTAAATCATATCAAAGACGGAATACATCGAATGAATACTACTTTAGTAAGGAATTATAGCTGTATAAAATAAAAAATCTGCCCTGAAGATAAGATAGTGCTGACAGATAAACTTCCAATTCATTGCGCGCCGCAGCGTTAAATAAACAAAGGATATGCCCTTATCTATTTTTTGCAGCATTTCCCTTTTTGTTTAATGGACTTTGAAGAATACTTTGCTTGTAGATCCTTTACATATTCGTAAATATATATCGGAAATTCTATTGACATATCGAAAGTTCAACCTACTTTTATAAAATGCTTAAAGTCTGCCAAAAATAATAAGCCGATCCATTCAAAGATTACGGACAACGCAATCTGCAACCTTAACTGAATTAGATAATTGGCTTAGCTTATACCGTCCGTTATCATTAAAAACGCGCATGCGCACACGCAAATTCGAGCCATAAAGGTCTTACGGCATGCGTAAATGCGACGCATGCCCAGAAAGTTTGTTAGCTTGAGGCCAGATTATAGATCATTCCGGATTATGGGTGTCCGAATTAACGACTTTTGACTGTATGTACTTTTGGTTATTTATTACTCTCTGTTTATGTATTTTTGGTTAATTGTTTGTCTCTGTGTATTAAGACAGCAGGAAATTTTTTCAGGTTAAATGATAGTTTTAACTTTGTTTTAGCTTCCTGATTTTGTTTAAGTGGAAATAGTTCGATGTGTACATGGACAAAGTTAAGGCAGTGCTCAATGACTAATTTGTGCAACTCTCTGAACTGTTTTTTTAATTTAAAATAGGTCGATGTATACATGGACATCGAGTTTGTGTAAGTCTTTGACTTCTTGTTTTGGTTTTGTGCAGCACGAGGAAGGATCGGCATCATCTTGAAATTGGTGCCAATCCTTCCTGCCGCCGATCTTTGTGTAAAAAAAAAAAATGATTCGTTAAGGGGTACCGTAAATTTTAACCAATATTAATAATTATAAATAAACAATCTTATCATTTAACAACATTGTCTGATCTTTCTGATGAAATAAGCATAATTTTATTTTTTCTGAGTTTTGTAATGGATAAGATTTTATCACTAATAACACATCACTAAGATATTTTTTTTAACGTAAATAAATACTGATCACATGTAAAGTAACCAACTTTCTACAATCTCAACTAATCATTTCTAATTTTATGTCATGTCTACAACTCCTCAGTATATAATACCTATACTCATGAGTTCTAGATATCTTATTTTTATAATGCATAACAAAAATCTAATACAGTCAGACCGCTCTGAACTGTATATTACATCCAACCATTCATTGCATTAATTTTCAACCAGAATAATCCATATAACTTACTTTGTTTTTCTCATCACTTTTATTTTATTACGATTTTACTATTCAGTTTTCAAAACCTATTTAACCTGTAGTATTTGATAAGATAATGCCACATCTGTTATTTCCTTATTCTATTTATTTCCAAAGAATCTTCAAATATACTAGGAACCAACATTTTAATAAACAAAATCTATTTTCTTTCTTCAAAGTACTACCTCTTCTTTAAATTTCTTAGTGTTAAGGCATCCATGCTGATCTGTGTTTTTATTGTTTTTTACTGAAATATTATAAATCAGATCCTTTTAACCTTCTGAAAGGTGCCGGATTTCAGATCCGTCATGAAGACTGGTATTTAAATAGAATTTATTAATTCAGTTTGCATAATTACTTATTTTAGTCTGTATTTTCATAAACTTAAATTCATTAAGATGATATTTACATTATTAAAGAAAGTAAAATATCTTAAATTATATGCTAATATATGGCAAGTAGCAAAATTTCTAATGACCAGATAAAGCCGGCCATGGTGTTCAGAGGGTTAAAAAACATTGAACGAAGGAATTGGGTTCCCCTCCCCTTTCAGATAATGAATCCTGCACAGAAAACACCATCTGGTATAGTTATTTAAATATATCTAGTAATCTATAGTGTGACCAAAAATCCTCTTTTTCTTTCCCCCCCTTTTTTTTTTTTTTTTTTTTTTGCTGGATACATAACGTGTAATAAATACTTTAATATTTTACGCTCACATTTCTGTTAGAGCATTATTCGCACAGCATACAAAAAGGCCTGTGCCAGTCAAATTTCTATAAAAATAGGAAATTTTCCTGGACTGTTTGTCAAAAAAAAAAGAAAGTGAAGGATACTCCTATGAATTATAAGCCCGACTCTATGCTACGCCTCTTCCTTCTGTCCGTGGCTGTCAAGACGGAAATGCAAAATCTCACACATTTCCGGTAATACAGAAGAAGATTCTGAGAAAAAAGAACTTATAAATGATGGCATAAAAATTGACCATATTACTACTAAATCCACCATATCAAACACAGAACTAAGTTTAATGAGATTTTCTTCAAAACTGGACTTGTTATAATGATGCAAATTTTTTAGAATTTCATAGCACATTTTCTAAGCTTTTAACACTCTATTTAATCTCACAGTCTTTTGTCAAACATTAAAAAAAGGGGGGAATAAGAATTGTTTAGGGAAAAGATAATAAATAACGAAGATCTAAAGCAAAAATTAGGGATTGTTAATGCTTATGAAAAGCTGTAATATTAACAGATATCTGCTTTCGCTTGGCCATGCCACATATCAGGTCCTCTTCAAATACTAAAGTTGACTTTGATGTACAATAAAATGAAGGGAATTAGCTTACCAAATATCAATGACTTACTAACATGCAAAATTGGCAACTTTCTAAATTTTTAGAAATATTTCTAAATTAATTCCTGTAATCAATGTAAAACTGACAGCTATTTTATGGTGAAATAAAAAATTATGTGGTAATTTTCTGTTCTGACCAAACTACCAGTTTTCAGCGAATTTACCACTATCAGAATTGGGCTCCGATATCTCCATATGTTTTGAAATAAAGCAACTCATAGTGGCATGCTCATTCTTTTTTCCTGTTGTATTTTTATTTAAAGTACCAGTTATATTTAAGTATTTAAAGTATTTTTAGCTTAAAGTTGAAATTAATGAAAAAAAAAAAAAATCTTTAAATCTGGGTCTTTTTTAATTCCACTTTATAGAACCTTTGCTTAAATGCATCACTTTTTAAATAACCACAAGGTTCACAGAAAGTTTAACTGCACTTCAGTCATCTATTAAAGGATAAATGCTGAAACAAAGTAGGATAAATGCTGAAACAAAGTATTTTTTAAATGAAAAAAAATTTTTTTTTTTTTTTTAATTTATTTTTAGAATCTGCATGCTAAGAGGAATTAAATGCTTCTTTTATAAATTAGATTTCAAAATTATTAAGCATATTGCTATAATCATTAGTATATTTTTCCAAGATTGAAAAGCAAATACAGGATGAGTGCAAAAAAAATGTAGAAATTTACAGATATATTAGATATTAGTAGTTACAAGATTTTATATTTCTTTCATATTTAAGAGTTAATTTTATTATCTTTTTATTATGAGATATAAAAATTGAATATTCCACTACTTCCCCTTAGAACTTTAGAACTTTAGAACTAGAAGATTAGCCAACTTTAGAACTCAAGTTTTGTTTTTGCTTAAAATACAGTACTAAGAATATGTTTATCATATTCTTAGTTAAACAATTTAACAATAGGATTTTTTTCTTTCCTTTAAGGAAATTATATGTGATTTTATCAAATGAACTTCGTAAATTAAGTCATTTGTTTTTTTTTTAGTCAAAATATGATCAAAGTTAAACATACTTCATTATTAAATATAAGTTTATAAATCTAATGTTATAGATGTAATTCCATGCAGCTTAGTATTATTCCATACACAACTTTCAGATTTGCTGAAATAAACATATCAATAAAGTTATGCGGATTTATACATTCAGGAAAATGTATTGAAATTTATTTGAAAATATTTCTTGATTTATACAAGAAAATGTATAAATCAAGAAAGGAGGTATAAAAACATGAAGTGAGGTTGAACTCAGGTAATTAAAATAACCAAACTTTAAAATCCAGCTTTCTATTTACGCTGAATCAGTCATCTGTAACTGTAAAAACACTCGATCACTGTATTTCTTAGCAGTATATATTACACGCTTTTATCTATTCTTTACAAAGCAGTATCTTTCAACAAAAAGCTGCCTATCGAAACTCTTACAAAAATTTGTCTAAAACGAATAGTTAAGATTAAATTCGCGAATGCAATAAATTGCATGTTCAAAATTTTTCGCAAAAGAAAACAACATCCATACGGTATCCTAATTTCTAGATTTCAAAACATAAACATCATGAGTTAAATTTTAATTTTCATATTATGTTTCAATGATTGCGCGGAAACACCTCATGCAGATACAAATAATTGCTATTAACATTATACGCACTGTACTTTTTTTTCCCCCCGACTGATGTTTGTTTGTTTTCAAGCTCGGGAAGAATAAAACAGCGTGCATGTATATGATTTCTCATCAGAAATCAAACACAGTTTTACAATTTTAACAACAGCTGCACAATATCAATACAAATGAAAAATGCATTTCATACAGTATTAGAGCAAAATTATTTACATTACCAATAAAATATTGGCCGAAGCTTCGAGCTCACACATAACCTGCTCAGCCATCACTCTGATCTGCCAAACACGAGAAACAGAAAAGTAGCCAAAAGCGAGAAAGCTTCTTTCGTGGTATTCTGTGGCAAGGAGAATCTCCTTGTTCTGTGGTGCTCAAACTGCATTCGCTAGTTATCAAAATTGAAATAATTAGTTAATATTCCATTTATTTAAATGTCTATACTACAATAAATATATTATTTCTCTTAGACAAATACTCTTTTTTTTCTTCTGTCTTATATAAATTTGTAAGATAAAATATATATATAAAAAAAAAAAAAAAATCAACACACACACAAAAAAAAAAAAAAAAAAAAAAAAAATATCAAAACAATATTGTACAACTACGTGCACTGTAGTCTGGCGGGGCTAGTGCCCTAGTCTGAACATCTTCGAGATGGAAGAACGGGTCGTTTGCTGCAATTTGCTCGGCAAAGAGAGAGTCTCGTGTCATCGACGACGACGAAGATCGTATTATATTCTCGAGTGTCAAGATGTAGAAATATCTTCTTACTCGACTTCTGATAAGCAATCTAGGAGAAAACGAAAGAACAGTGTAGTAAGAGATATGGGAGGGGGGTGAAAAGAGAATCTTTTCAAGAATGCGGGGGGGGGTCGTGTCATCGTCTCGATCATTATAGACCGATGTTCAACTAGGCCTCCTGGTCGAAATCGATGTCGAAAAAACACCAGTCAGGATTTTCTTTCCCCTTGACAGCCGACGAGAGAGCGAGTCTGATCAACACCGACTCTGCTAGTAGAGTCGGTGTTGGTCTCGTCCCTTCAAATTCCGTCGGCGGAAATTGTCGGCGGAAAAGTCGGCGGAAATTGAAGTGGCATTTATTACATAACAACTAGTCTATCTAAGGCTCCTGTACAGGAGCTCTAACAGTTCTATAAGGTATTTCTCCTGCCTTCTTAGCATGCCTTCGTAGTGTAGTGGTCAGCACTCCCGACGCGTATTCGAGAGGTCAGTGGTTCGAGTCCCAGTGAGAACATTGCTCATTTTCCATGTCTCCTGCTTCTAGAGTATGTCTATTCTAATAGAAACGTAATCATAGCAGATAACCAGCAGGTCTAGGCAGCTGACGAAATGTAAAGGCAGCAAGTCTCGACTCATGTATATATGTAAATATCTCTAAGCTAACTAACCCTTTTTGCTAATTTTATACTAACATTCCCAAAAAATTGTAAGTTAGAGCACCCAACAAAAGTAATAAGTATTGTTAAATCTGTTTATCTTTAATAAGGTTGAAAAGATCAACAACCAAAATAGGTTGCTCTGCAGCGATCAGAATAAAATGACTGACCTGTAGTGCCCATTGAAGGGTGAAGCAGGCGGAGTAATAATAAATAAATAAATAAATGTCCCCTGCTTCGAAATATCCTAATGTCTTTACAGTGGCGCCCAAACTAAAAAAGGTGGTGGATGATGATTCTCCACTACCAGGATTTGGCAATTGAGTCCCTCAGTCGCCCTTTAAAAGAGGGAGTATATAAGGTATTTCTCGCCTTCTTAGGATGCCTTCGTAGTGTAGTGGTAAGCACGCTCGACGCGTATTCGAGAGGTCCGTGGCTCCATAATACGTCGATGGTTTTGGGTTTTATATGAATTGTAAAGTCTTTAATAAAAATTTGATGAAAACTTTTTACTGTTTTTGATCTCAAATGGACCAGGAGAGCGAAACATATTTTCGAAACATATTAATCGGCTTTTATGAAGCTTTAATTCATTTTCTCCTGATGAGTTCTGTTCGATAAAAGGAGATTAATTTTTATTTGACTTCCTTTTATTAACCCATTTAAGTTCATTCAAATCCCTTTCATATCTTCTTTTCCCTAAAGTAACAGGTTTTCAAGTAACAGGCTGCAGTTCCATATTACCTGAGGTCAGTGGCGTAGAGAGCATGATAACTGGCGCCCGGAGCAAAATACATTTTTGGCGCCTCCCCCCAAAAAACACTTACGGTAATGTAATGTATAGAATATATTCGTAATAAGAAAATAATGCAGAGAATAATAAAATGCTGAATCTGCTATAAAATACTCTAAAATATATTAAGAATAGTCACTGCTTAACTACACTAGCATTGGATTCGGAAATGTATCTGTGTCGGCGGAAAAATCAGACATACGATGATCTTGAATTAGTTAAAAAAGTATTATTTATTTTACATATTTTTGTAATTGTTTTTAAAAAAGTACAATTTTTAAGCAATTAAAAGTTAAATATGTATTATAGATAGTAATATATTTATTAATAATAAAACAATATTATAATACATTAATACAATTAATTACTATGTATACACTTTTCTTGCTTTGAATGAAGCAAATTTATTAATTACTTCATCAAAGTCTATCCTTTCAAATTTTTCTATTTCTAAACTTTTAAAAATGTTATATGACTTAGGGGATCTTGTCCCATCTTTGATTGTAAATATGTTAAAATTTATTTTAATTTGCTGAACGAACGTTCATAGCTAGCATTTGATAATGAAATAGTAAGGAGTATTTGAAGTGCGACTCTTTTCGCTCAAACTGCCCCATTAGAAGTCCTCCGAGTGCAGCTTCAGCGTTTGTCCGTGGTCCGTATCATTGAGTAAATCTTATTTTAAATGTAAGATAAAATTGATTTTTTCAAAGATGCTGGTCTGAGTAAATTTAATTTAGAACTATATTTATGCAAGAATAGTATGAGATATCAAGTATTTGGGAAAAGTAAAAAAAAAGAGTCAAAGAATATTTCGCTAGTTTGGGTGTTATTTTTGCAGAGTTTCCTAATCATCTTTCTAATTTTTGGCATCCATAAAAGTATTTCAGAAAAATGGCCGATACGTACAGAGATGGTGATGGAAATGTTGAAAAGACAGAAGGTAATCAAACATTATTTATTAAATTTAGTAGCAAATATCTTGACGTAGACGAGAATCATATTTATATTGTTCAATAATGTTAGTATTAAATGTTGTTATTTCTTATATAATAATATGTGACTGACGGAAACATTTTCGTGCCCCGAAAACTAAGTTTGTCTGACATTCTTGGACAGTTTATTTATATTAATCTTTTGAGGGATTTGTTACCCCCTTAAGTTTAGTGCTATGAGCTATCATCTGTTTTGTCCGCTTCCTTAATTAGCGTTTCGTAGAGGGTGCGGTGTTTATTATATTTGCAAAAATTTGATTAAGAAATCACGCAGCATAGATATGTGTGAATGAGATATTATTAAAATGCGAAGAAATAGGGATTCATTTCTTATTATCTGTGATTTAATCTTTTTCGTAAACATTAAATTACTAGAATAGACCATAAAGAAATGTGGGCTCATTTCGGATACCCGGCTCTTGGCTGAATTTGGCGAGTTTTTGGCCGCCATCTTGGATTTCAGAAATGCGCCAAAAAGCGCATTTCGAAATCCAAGATGGCGGCCAAATATTGTTTTCCCTATCCGAGGGAAGTGGACAGGGAAAACAATTCTGAACTGCCAAAAGGAAAAATTGAACTTACCCTTGTTCATGTGACATGATGACGCCTGACATTCCCTATTTCTTCAATGTTGTACAACATAGTTAATGTTATATTACTAAGCATGATATGATAACTTACTAATTGTAATTCAGTCTAAAGTAATAGAACAAGAAATTTTAATTAACGTGTACTTTAACGAGTGAAATGTTTTGCATGAAAACGCTATAGGGCGAAGAAGTACTTACGCTCAAACTGTAAACAATCGATTTAAAAGAAAGCTTCCAACCTAAAAATTTGACTTGCATGTAATTTCGGCATTATATTATTTGGCATTTAAATTAATAATGAATTTATATTTAAATTAATTATGTTATGCAGGTAAGTGTATGATAGTTAAACATGATATATATGGATGAGAAATGAAAAATTAGAACATTTATTAAGGTATTTGTAATATATGGTTAAGTTCTTTTTAAGAAACTTATTTTTCAGTATATAGCACTCATTTTTTTTTTATTAATTAATCAATTTGAACATATATTTTCTATTTTTCCCTGTGTTAGAATTTCAACTTTTTTTAATTAATCAATTAAACATACATTTCTTAACTTATTTTTCAATATGCAAGAATTTCAACTCTTTTAATTAATCAATTTAAACATATATTTCTTAACTTTTGTTTCAATATGTAAGAATTTCACCTTTTTTAATTAATAAATTTAAACAAATATTTCTTAACTTATGTTTCAATATGCTAGAATTTCATATTTTTAATTTATCAATGTAAACATATATTGCAAAATGAAGGTACTTACCCCTAGATGACATTGCTTGTACAATCTTTGTCTTCTTAAATTATGTTATTTATATTTATAAAAAATTTCACTTTTTCACAAGAAAATTTTTATCCAGGTTCTCACAGTTTCACCTTTTCACAAGAATATTTTTATCCAGGTTCTCACAGTTTCATCTTTTCACAAGAAAATTTTTATCTAGTTTCTCACAGTTTTGCAAGAAAATATGTATCCAGGTTCTCACAGTCAACAAGTTCACAAGAAACTGTGTATATGATAACCAGGGCTAGAAAGGGGGCATATGTCCGTGGGCACATCATCCAAGGGAAGCCAAAATGATGTTACGAATTTTTAGAGTTGAATGTTTTCCATTTTTGGCCAGTAGTCGGGAGGGGCACAAAATCTTCAGTTTTCCCTGGGCGCTGAAAACAGTAACTATGACTCTGCTGATAACTTATAAAATTTCATTTTTTCACAAGAAAAACTGTTATAGATTCCTTCCTTGTTAAAATCCAATACTTCGTTTCACTGAACTCCACTCTTATAGATCGAGGCCTGTTCATCAGATCTGAAAAAGAACAATTTTTACAAGCATTTTGCATTTTGAAATTAGAAATGATTCCATTTCCACATCACCTTAAGACTTACACGTACTTAAAAAAAGAAAAATCTTTTCTTCTGCTTTTTGACTATTCATTTTAATTGAAGCATTACCAAATTTTGTAAATTAGAGTTTTTATAATTATATTTAAATCAATTATTTATAAAAAATATTTATGCGGGTATTATCATATAATTTCATTTAAAAAATAGGCACTATTTTCACATTACATTGACGTTACATGCAGGTTAAAGTGATTTTTAATTAAATCTAAATTTGATAAAAAAAATAGAAACAGTAAGAAATGTGATTAATGATATTAGTGAAACAAAATAGTTACAAATAATCCCAATTTTTAAGCTAGTACGTGTAAGACTAGGAGGTAGGAATCCTGATGCGTTTTTTTTTTTACGAGGTTTCGCCAGGAGCCATAATCCTCTAATTTTAATGTGTACACATATATTTTATATTACTTACCATTCAGCACCACATTTTGCAGTTTTTCAGCAGTATTACTTGGGCAGTTCACTATTTGGAGTTTTTTGTAGAGAAAATATCCATGTTATATATGTTCAGAATACAAGATAATAAACAAGATTTTAAATTTCATGATCGTCGAGATTTCCTGTGGTGGCAGCAGTTGCTCAGTTCCTTCGCTTTCAGGTGTGGCCCGCATCAGTCGTTTCAACTCGGATGTGTTTCTTGAAAGAAAAACCTGGCTATACCCCCAGGTACTGGGTTTGTCATCCGAGTTGATTTCTCCATCTGCTTCTTCCCTCGTCTAAGTGGCAGCAAAATGTTATTTTTGAAGTCCCTAAACAAAATATCCATATTATGCATATTCAAAATACAAGATAAGTAAACAAGATTTTAAATTTCATGATCGTCGAGATTTCCTGCGGTGGCAGCAGTTGCTCAGTTCCTTCGCTTTCAGGTGTGGCCCGCATCAGTCGTTTCAACTCGGATGTGTTTCTTGAAAGAAAAACCTGGCTATACCCCCAGGTACTGGGTTTGTCATCCGAGTTGATTTCTCCATCTGCTTCTTCCCTCGTCTAAGTGGCAGCAAAATGTTATTTTTGAAGTCCCTAAACAAAATATCCATATTATGCATATTCAAAATACAAGATAAGTAAACAAGATTTTAAATTTCATGATCGTCGAGATTTCCTGCGGTGGCAGCAGTTGCTCAGTTTCCTTCGCTTTCAGGTGTGGCCCGCCCGCATCAGTCGTTTCAACTCGGATGTTTTTCTTGAAAGAAAAACCTGGCTATACCCCCAGGTACTGGGTTTGTCATCAGAGTTGATTTCTCCATCTGCTTCTTCCCTCGTCTAAGTGGCAGCAAAATGTTATTTTGAAGTCCCTAAACAAAATATCCATATTATGCATATTCATAATACAAGATAACTAAACAAGGTTACGATAATGAAAACATAAGTTAGCGTATATATAAACACTTTTATTAAATGTTTTAATATTTTTTCTAAAAGTGTTCTTTCTGTTGTTTAGTTTTAATCTTTTGTTAACTACATACTCTTTTTAACTAGAAAATAATAATTGAACATAGTACAAAAATACACAATTACCACAAAAGGGTGGCAAGTTTAAGAAGTTAATAATGTAAGATTGAATCCTTATATTTAAAATAATAAATAAACGGTAAAATTAAAATACTAAACGTAGTATGAAAATACATAATTAAAATAAACAGGCTGGAAACATTAAAAGTAATGAATTCACCTGTATATTTTCTGACTGAAGATTCATTTCTTTCCATGATTCATTTCCTCATTTCTGCAATATTCTTTACCTGAAAGGGGTGATAAATTATCCTTAACAATAAAATGTTTTCTGGTAAGAAGTAGGCTGGAAACCTTTAAATTAATCAACTCACCTCTATGTTTGTCAATTTATCTGTCAAAATTAGTTTTCTTCTTTCTTTTATTTATTTTTTTGGATTACCTAATTTGCAATAAAGTTTTTTTTACTGAAAAATAAGTAGGTAAACTTATACTAATAATAACTAAATAAATTTTACAGTTGCTTTTACTGAAGGAGTAGTATTAAAATAAAGTGAAGCACTAATTTGAAACATAAGCTGTGAATGGTTAAAATTTTGTCTTACCTCTGTCATAGTATTTCATGACATTTTGGATCTGCAGCTGTGAAAGAAAGTTTATTTTAATGAAGGAATAACAAAATATATAAAGAATAGCTCTCACGTCAAAATAAAAGTTGAGAATAACTGAAATACACATTTACCTCTTTCTGTAAAAGATATGCAACATTTTCGCAACATTTCCATCCTTTTGTTTTCTGGGCTCTGTTTTTTGGTTGAATTCTAAAAGGAAATAAAAACAATTTCATGCAGTAACAAACAAAAAGGTATTAAAATAAAATTTGTGGACCATCTGGAACATTATTACACAAATTATAGTATTCAATTTACTTGTATGCTTTTCATTTATTCCAATTTTACGAGTAGAACTTAGTCTATGCTCCCTTATCCTGAAAAATAAGCACATAGATTATAATGGTATGTAATTTAATATTTAAATGCAATTTTTGTATGTATATATATGTAAATAAATAAATTATGTCAAAAATAAAGTTATATTTGTTGGTTTTACCCCATTTATCATCATCTTCCTGAATGAATGGTATATCATCATCTTGTCGGGCTGATTTCTTTGGAGGCATCAGGTCCTCAATTCCTTCGCTTTCTGATGTTGGTTCGTCCAACATTTTAAGTTCAAGGCCGACTTTTCCATGGCCTGGATACACAGCTTTAATGTCCTGTAGAAACTGAGCAAGTCTTTCTCCATCATAAGTAAAGGGCTTCAAGCGGAACCGCCTGTAATAATGTACAGCCATGTACTGCGTGCAAATATCATCTGTTCTCTTGCTCTTTATAGACCTCTTAAAAAGTTTTGTTTTCACCCTCAAGATCATTTATAGTGTTCTGTTTATCATCGGGATCTACGAATACGCCTGTAAATAAAGGATTAATGAATGTTAAGGATGGAAAAAAAAATGTCACTCATTAAAAAAAAAGACACATATTTACCTTTCTTGTGATTGGTAGTTTTATGTGTTGCTGCCGGAAATAAATTTTCTATCCTTTTATATTGTGGTGGAGCAGAGTCAGTGTATATGAAGGTGGTTTCTGGGTGAACATGACGTTTAATGTAAGGCCACAAATGCCTTTTGCTTTTTCCTTTAACCTTGAAAAATAATCCTTCTTTGTCTTCTCGACAGTAGATGCCTAAAACTACGATGGTCATATTTTTGGTTACCCTGCCGCGGTTGTACTTGCGGCGGGTCAAAAATGTTTCATCAATTAATATAGATTTTCCTTTACCACCTAACATTCTGCTATGATGAGAGGCAAAAATTTCACATACCTCACGACAATATGATAAAAAGTCAACAATAGTCTCATTTGCAATTACTGGTAATTTTTGCTTTTCCCTCCATAGCTTTAGCTGCTGATTTATGTAACTGAAACTGTGATCTAGAACAAAGTACACAGTTATGACTAAAGCTTCCCTTATTGGGATTTTTGTACCTTCAAAAAATGTATTTTCAATGGGGTTAATCATGCCAGAGCAGTTGTTGCGATTTCTCAGGCTGCAGACCCAACGCCATCCGAGCTTTGATTCCTTTCTCTTGTTGCTTCTCATCGGTGCCTGGCACTTGGGGCAAGGTGGTGCCTCATCCTCTCTGGGAAGAAGTCCAGCATCGGTGGCAAACTCGAGTGCAGCTGCCTCTGTATTAATTAAATGCATGTCAGTAATTAAACAGAAATATTTCAGTTTTTCATGCAAAGAAGCCATATTCAAAAAAGTCAGTACAGTGACAGAAATAGTTTAATGAAATTTATTGTTAGAAATTTCAGAAACTTGGTAATTATGCAAAAGTCAAAACTATCAGAAATAAAAAAGTTTAATAAAGATGAAAAGTAATTATAAATTTAATTAAAACAATATTAGTTCATTATAGGAAGATAGAGAAGAAGTGAAAAGTTCAAACTAGAAAGTACTGTTACAAAAAAAAAAAAAAAAAAAAAAGGAAAATAAAATAATAGTAATGATATGTATCTATGAAAACAAAGTATTAAAACAAATTTTAAGTGAAAAATAATATTAAAAAATGTAATGGATGAAAATAGATTAAAAGTAAACTTAGCTTTGGCAAAGTCCAAACCACGTTTTCACGTAAGTACCGAGGTACTGATTTTTTTCAGTACCTGACAGACAGACAGACAGCTGCACGGGCTTAACCGCGGCAAAATATGATCGCGAAAAATCTTCTTTTTTAAATTTATTTAAAATATTTTCGAAAAAAAAAAATATTTACTTTACAAATAAATGTTTTTCGGTACATATGTTTTTTTAAAACATTTTTAAACAGAGATGCAGAAGAATAATAGGTATTGTTATTTTTGTGTGCAGATATGCGTGCGTGATGAACTAAAAAATGATTTTGAAGGTTTCGTGGCATATTTATCCTCTCAAAAATATGCAACTTGCTCAACTTTTCGATTTTATTAAATTAAATAAGGCCTATCGATTTTTTTTTTTTTTTTTTTTTTTTTTTTTTTTTTTTAAGCACTGACAATGAAAGCTGTTATGTTCTATTTTTTGCGTTTTTATCCCAAAGCGCGTTAGCCCAGAAGGGCTATTAATTTCGTTTTCGCATTTTGCGTTGAACTGTTTCTACCGAATATTATCGCTGTGTGTTATATTTAAAGATATTTAATAATAAAGAATCAGCATAAATATACGTATGTTTAACGTACATAACATTTATGCAGATACTGTGATAAAACAACGGTACCTACAGCTATGAAATTTTGAATATGTACGTCACCACCCGAATATGGGCATCTGAAAGCTCAAATTTGTAATTTGTTTTATTAACTATTTAACATTTTGTAAAGCATTTATGTGTTTTTGATTAAGAAACTCGACGATTTCTAAGCGAGCAATGGCAACACTGTTCGGCGCAAGACTGTCTATCGGAAATTCTAAAGATATGCTCTTCTTTTAAATGTTTTGTCATATTGCTGCTTAAGAGAGAAGACAGTTCGGATGTACAAAATTTAAAGACCGCATGTCTGTGATTTGATTTTGAAAATTCATTTCCATTGAATTTAACAATTGTTTTCAGTTGGCGAGAGGTATACATCTCTGTTGTACACTATTATTGGTAACCTTTAATTGTTGGTTATTTGTTACATTTTTTTGTCTTTCATATTGCCCTGGCTGCATTGGAAATTTCGTGGTTTTCCTCGTGTGTATACGAGCCAGTACAATTACACTAATGAATCATATCACTTAAATAATGTGAATAATTATAGAATTATTATATAGTGTAGAATAATTGGGTTGGTTGTTATGTTCACGAGTTGTGTGTAAATGCGTGGCTTTGTGTGATTATGTAATTAATTAATGAAGATTTCAGCAGCGGCCTGGCGGTAAAGTGTGTGAGCACTGGTAGTTCATCTCATTACACATATACTAGCTACACATATATACATTATAGACAGTGGTGTAACTAGAATTCTTGGTCCCGTATGCAAAATAATTTCCTGGGTCCCTAAACCAATAAATTTAATGTGCTTAAAAATAAAAATTAAACTAAAGAAAAAAACGTGAAAAGTAAAAAAAAAAAAAAAAAAAAAATCAAGGATTCCTGGAGCCAATGTTTTCATGATTTTTATCACATCTGGATTAATTGTTAAAAAATAAAAGCACGTTCTCAGGGAACCATTTGAAAGTTATGTAATATGAAGAAAGAATAAAAAGGAAAATATTTCCCCTTTGCTAACTGGTGAAATGCAAATTTGCTTTAGTCTGGGTATTTGACGTCAGATGATTTTAATTCTGTAATTTAAGACTTTTTGTGTGCGTGCGTGTGAGTGATAGATAATTGATATTGACAGACAAGATAATTGATAAACGTACAGAAAAAATATACATCAATAGATAGTACTCTGTGATTTTACTCAACTTACGAACATAATTTATGCAATAATATACAAGTACATTTGTTAAATATAAAACATATTTATCATAAACTTCATAAAGAAAACTATTTGAATATACAATTTTAGTAGAAAATATGTAATATTTT